ACTTGTTTGTGGGGGGGTTGGGGGGTTGTGTTTTTGGTAGGTGGTTTCTTTTCCCAACGGCATGAAATTTCTACCACAACATAAATATGAGATGTAGAGGCTTCCCAAGAAGTTTCGCTGAAAAACTCATTCGTATGTAATTATTATGAATTATCGACGATATTCGGTAAAAAATTCGGGAAAAATAGTTCCGGTGCTCAGAAAATTATGAAACTTTGCCACAAATAAGATCATATCATCATAGTGTTGTGTACAAAAAATCAGATCAAAATTCCCAGGAGTTCGAGTGGGGGAGCATGTCAGGAAAAATGGGTAATTTTTCACCCTTAGACTTTTTCTTTTCTTTTCGTGTTCATCCGTTCGTGTAGGTACACTCACGGCTGATCGAGTGATCGAGGATGTCCGCACATACCGAGAAAGCTCGCACCAGCTCGAGAGGCGCTATCGCACACGTCCAGGAAATTCCGCACCAGCCCGGAAGAACGCGGACCTGTCCGAGGATCGCTATCGCACAGTCCAGGAAACTCCGCACAGCCGCGAGACAACGTCCGAGAGACTCTGCCTCGGGACATCTCAGGCCACCGACCCTGGACGCCCCTCGGACCACCTGACTCCGACTCCTGGACCTTCCCTGCTCATCTCCACGTCGGCCCAACTCGCGTCCATGCCCAGACCAAGACCGAAGACTGCCAAAGGCCAAGAACTACCAAGGGGCCGCGGCCATGGTCCATGACCAGTTCATGGACGTGTCCGCGGGCCCTTCTTGTGGGGACCCCGAACCCACAACATTCGTGTCCAATCGTTTTCATCACACAAGTTTCGTTTGCTCATTTGACCCTCATTTCATATTTACATTTTCACAAACACCTTGTAATCAATATTTTCCATCACCTTTGATCTAGTTTAAGAATGTATTAACACAACCTAGTCCTCGTGATCGACCCCGGTACTACAACTACCGTATACTTGCGGATAGTGGTACGAATCGGGTTACAAATTTAGAACTCGGTGCGTGCGCATCATCTACGCATAGACGCCAAGATCACCCAAATCCGATGTCGGAACAGGAAGTTATGAACAAATTTGTGAAGCCCACCAAAACTGTTAAGTGACACGATCGTGTCACTTTCAGTCACACGATCGGGTCACTTACCAGATTTTGGAAATATTCCGAATTTTAGCTCAGAAAAAGAATGATTAAGTAGGATTAGCCCCCAAGGTCGAAAACATTCAGACTTTTCACAGAAACACATCCTAGAGCACACAAGAAGAGGGAGATTATCAAGAGGCAAGAGATCGGAGTAGAAGACGAAGATTACGAAGTCGGAAAATCGACTAAGCATTCTTCCTTTCTTCTATTTTACGATGTTTTGTGTTATTGATATTAACCATGATATCTCGATGTATAGCGAGTAGTCCCATAACTGTAGGTTAGGGATTTGCTATGTAGGGATCTTTGGTTTTTAATTCCAGACTTTGTGGATTTGTCTATTCTATTCAGTTTATTGAATTGTTCTTAATGTGTTTGATCTTGTTGGCCGCTTGATTGAATGATCTTAGGATTTTAATTCACATACACATATGGGATTATAACCTGGAACTAAATCAATAAATAGAACATGTATCACATTGGAAGATGAGTATTTGCCTAGGAATCATGATAGCATTCGTTCATGCATCTAGAGTTTTAGACTATTGAATTGGGAGATTAGTAGGATTAAACCTGGATAGTGAGATTAGACTTGGGAGAGTTAATCTCTACCTTAGAGCTTGAATTCCCTGGATTGGATAGATAAACCACTAAGTTTACATCTTTTGAAAGATCTTTGCATGTAAAGCAATCCCGAAGCCTGCAGTGTTCATCATTCATAGTTTACAACCGTTTTGTCGTTTGTTTTGCTACATTCCCACATCCACATTATTTTATCTGGATTTAGACTTAGATTTGGATTTACTTCAGTTGGTTACTTGTCCCTGTGTTCGACCCTCATTACTACAATCAAACCGTACACTTGCGGTATTTGTTGAATCTAGGATATTATTACTTGACCAAATTTATACACCTAGATTTGCGACATCAAGTTTTTGGCGCCGTTGGCGGGGACAATTTAGGTAATAAGATTAGATCCTATCTAGTCTGGATCTTTTTCTTTTTCTTTTTCTTTTTCTTTTTCATAGGTGATCTCTCACGTTTTCTTCGTTTGTTGTTGTTTTTCGTTTGGTGCACAGGTTTTTCTAGTGCATGACCAGGAGTGCTGGGACATCAGACCTAGTACCTCCTGATCGTGAGCTTGAAAGGATCGTTAGATACATCCGACGCCAACGAAGACAAATGGAGAACGACCGAGATTTTGCTCTTCCCGATGGTGCCGAGGGCAATGCTGACTCAACCTTTGCCCAGTACAACACGCCTAAGCACATTGAGCTTTTGGCTGGTATTCGACTACCGGCCATCGACATGTCTAGTTTCGAGATGAACCCGTCTACTATTTAGATGTTGGGCAATACTGCTTTCCGGAGTAGGCCGAACGAAGACCCGAACGCACATCTAACTCGCTTTAAGATGATGTGTCGTTCTATCAAGAGAGATAACAGGGTG